TTACCTCTGTTCCTATCTGCTTCGACAGAGTTACCCACTTTCTTGTTTGATGATGCCTTCTTTCTTTTGTTAACCACTTGCATCCGTGGTCCGTAAGGCTCATTATGAGTCGGTTTCTGTTTAAATTTTGAAAAACCGTTTATTTCGATTCGGTTCAATTTTTAATAAAAAATCGAACCGAACCGAACCAAATACACCCCTACCAGATATGACCCTATGATAATATTCATCCAAGCAAAATGAATGAGGAAGTACTCATTATGCAAACCAACTACTTGTAACTCACCAGACGACTTCCATAACAATTGTATACGGTTTAACAATCTGTAGCCGATCGACTTTCCCAGGAGCCGCATGATCATAGACTTTGACGATTTTTCGTCTATGGATCGATGTATCCACTCAGAAAAGCTGATATCCGGCACTCCTCCTCCTATATCAATTCGAACATCCTCCGAAAGCAACTCTACATCTAAATCCGAAACAGAATTAACCTTTTGGTTCACTCCACTTTGACTTGTAACTATGTCCCTAAAAGATACTTTGTTCGTATTCTGAGTAGTCCCCTCTTCTAGCATATCCCTCATGACTTCATCAGGATCTTGTGAATTCAAGCCAGTCGAATCCTTCTCCATGATTGTAACCAAATTCTCATTATTCCTTGGTTTTTTCCAGTCGCAAATCTTCCGCCGGGATCGCATGTCATGTCCGCTCCAGGGAAGTCGTTGTGTTGACAAGGCTCAGGCCATCCAGCAGCTAACCATTCAGGGCAACCACAAAATTACCATTAGGGTTCCCTACAGTTTCGGAAGGAATCTCAGAGAGAGAAAGATTTCATATCTTTAATATAACTGATTCATTTGTTTCATTTATGTTTTTTATTTCTTAATTTAATAATTTTAAATTTATTTTGAAAATAATAATACAAATAATCAATTACATATACAAATATTTTAAAAATGATTTAGCTTATAACATTTTGTCTTAATTTTAATTTTAAAAAATTTAAAGTTTAGAGAATTTTTAGTTTAACCCAAAACGACTAAAATAGCTTAAGAAGTAATAACATGTGTCCGAGTTTACATAAACAAGTTCTGTGAGCCAATCACATTGCAGAAACCAAATCAAAAAATGAAGAACAACAAAAAAGGAAAATCCCAAATTAGTTGGACTTTCTGTCTCATTTGCTTGCTACCCTCTGCGTATTGGGTTCTCTGTCTCATCTCTTCAATCATATTTTTCTTTTCTTTTTTTAATGTTATTTTGAAGTGAATGTTATTATTAGTATTATTTTTGTTTTATAAGTGCAGGTAGGTAAGACTGTAAGAGGAAAGATCAGTTTTTTCGTTTTTAAATTTGGATACTTGTGTGTGGTATTTGAGAGGATCCATGGCTGCACCACCTGCTAGAGCTCGGGCTGATTATGATTATCTCATTAAACTTCTTTTGATTGGCGATAGTGGTAAGCTCTCTTCTTTTCTTTTTTAGGTTCCTGGGTAAAAGAATAATTTTTATTGTCACACCATTGAAAAATGGAACATGGGTATTGGAAAAACTCTGATCTTCTGTTATTTCTTAATTGTTGACGTCCTTTTGTTGAATTTCTTAATTGTACTCTTTGATGTGGAATCTTGATGCCAAGACATGCATCTGGATCATTGTTGTGCTGTGTCATGAAAAACTTGGTGGGAAGCTTTGCAATATGATTCGAATCTGATGCGGAGTAGGAAATAGAATTGTTTTTGTTGAAGAGGCACGCTGTGTAATCTGTATGGCTTGGCTTACAAGTTAAAGAGAACGATCATGTGATCTCATGTTTGGGCTTGAATTTTACATAGCTTTAAATATTTTTCCCGACTGATTTTCGCATTTGAATCTATGCAGGGGTGGGGAAGAGTTGTCTGCTTTTACGTTTTTCTGATGGTTCCTTTACTACTAGTTTCATAACGACCATCGGGTTTGTATTCCTGGAAACTCCTGTCAGTGACTTGTCCAAAGTTATTTCCATGTATTTGCACCATTTGGTTACTTCCAATGAAACTGCAGCGTTTTAGGGATGGAATGGAGTTCATAATTATTGTAATCTAAGTTTTCAATTTATCTGTCCTGGACAATACCTTGGTAATTCGTATTCAACTTGAAAATTTGTACACACCCTTAAAGATGGTGCTCAATGAACTATTTACAGCAGTAGTCTCTAATTCTTTCACTCATTTTCTCAGTACTCCACATTATATATTGGTTGAGGCATCTTTTCAGCTGATTCTCTGAGATTTAAAAAGTTTGGTAACTTTATGGAACGTTTTCTCTTGTTGACTGTTCTATTTTCCTTGACAGCATCGATTTCAAAATAAGAACGATCGAGCTTGATGGTAAGAGAGTCAAATTGCAAATCTGGGATACAGCTGGTCAAGAGCGATTTCGAACTATTACAACAGGTGTGTTTAAGCTTTTTCTGGCTGGCTTTTTTATTTTATTTTCAAACTATTACGACAGGACCATTAAGCTTGATGTCTGACTTTGCTGATGAATCATGCTTCTGCAGCATACTACCGTGGAGCTATGGGGATTTTGCTGGTTTATGATGTTACTGATGAGTCATCTTTCAATAGTAATGTTCCGGCTTTATTAATTCTGTTTTTGGCATATAGGTGACATTGTTAATTTATGGATTGATAAGCCATTGTTGTTGGATGATTTCCATCATTTTTATGCTCATCTGCTACCTTGAGTTAGGCAGTGAAATTGGTCTGTAGTTGATCCTCCTCATCACTGCTTTTGTCGTGATGGCTTAGGGTTTCTTTCTGTTGGTATGGAGTTTCTTACAGTGGATCCTACATCTATTGCGAGTCTTATAGAGCCAACTTCTGTTCATGTACAGATATTAGGAATTGGATTCGCAATATCGAACAACATGCTTCAGACAATGTCAACAAGTTACTGGTCGGAAACAAGGCTGACATGGATGAGAGCAAAAGGGTAGGATTTTCCCTTTTTGATTATTTAGAAAAATTGCTTATCTTGTTTGTATTGGTGGTTAGATTATCAGTTCAATCTATCCCGAGGCAACCCCTTATTCGTCTTATATATACACATGAACCAGACACATTTATCGAGTAATAATCAGAATTAATCTCCTCTTTCGCAGGCTGTGCCAACCTCAAAGGGTCAAGCTCTTGCTGATGAGTATGGTATCAAGTTTTTCGAAACTGTAAGTCGCACGTTAGCTGCCGACTGGATCTTTTCTTTTTTTAATGCTATTGATCATTTCTTTGGATACTATTGGAACAATGTAATTCTGCAGAGTGCAAAGACGAATTTGAATGTGGAGGAGGTTTTCTTTTCGATAGCCAGCGACATTAAGCAAAGGCTTACAGAATCTGATAATAAGGCTGAGGTATTCTCTCTTCTGAATGTATATTTTTTCTTTATTCACCTTGATTCTTCCTTCTACTGCCTTGTCAAAATGATGGATGCCTTGTTTTTGTGGTTACAGCCAACCGCAATCAAAATCAATAAGAATGACCCTGGAGCAAGCAGAGCTCAAGTTGCTCAAAAGTCGAACTGCTGCGGGTAGTAATGGGGTTAAAAAGGGTATGCAGATTCAAAATGGAAGGTTCAGCTTCACAGTTGCTCTAACGTAAAACTAATCGTTCATGTATTTATCTCTTATTTTCTTTCCAGCTGCCAGGATTAGCTCGTTAAAGGCAGTTCCTTTTCTTTTTCATTTAATGTTGTGGAATTTTATCTCTTTAATCTCCTTGAACTCAAACAACCCTTGATATGTACTTGTCTTGTGTATATAGATAATCCGAATTCATGTTTCGGTACAAAGGTCTTAACCTAAGTAGAGTGGTAGAGATTCGAAATGTCAGGATTCAAACTCCAAACCTAAGTAGAGTGGTAGAGATTCGAAATGTCAGGATTCAAACTCCAAATCTTCTTAATAACACCCCTAAATCGAGTTAAGCCTAGGAGTTGTTAGTCCACTCATGTAATATGTAATCCCATGATCTAATATGCCTACGTTGTTTGGAAATGTCATTATCCAGCTGAGGTGAGAACATTTTTATGTTTAGAACTCTCAAGTCATGAGCTTCAATGATTTGAACCCTAGATTAAGATAGGTCTCTGACACTTGGCCTGAAGGGTTGGTGCCCTTGGGTTCAATGTCACCTGCTTCGACCATATGTATGAAATACAAGTACTAAAGAACATATATAAATAACCTCAAACTTGACTCCATGACATCCCTTCCCTCATCCTTAGATTATGTATGACATAAGAGCCTGAGGCGATATAGTGTAACCAGAATACCAAACTTTACATAAACGTCCATTCAATCAAAAGTCTTGCAAGCTTAGAAGAAGATTTCATCCTTCTCGTGTATAGGACCAACTGTTCGACGAAAGAGCCCAAGTATGTACTAATGGGATTCAGTCATTGAATAAAATACAACACATTAATCTACATTCTTATACTACCACACAAATTAGTAGATAATAAGTCGGTGTTACAGCCACTCCATCAAAACATCAAGTTTGTTTATTCCTCCGAGGAAAATTGGGCAGGGGGTCTTGTTGGTTGGTCCATGGCGGCAGAATCAACTGATCCATCTCACTCGGAGAAGAAAAGACATATAATAGCAAAGACTTGGACAACTCTAATGCATACTAGCACGGGAAGTGTGGACTATTCGTATCATGAGAATAATCTCCTTTAATGCATATTCTTTGGCATCACTATTCAACCAAGGCTACTTATCACTAAACTTTTGCATATTATGCCGACTTCTATATCTGGGCACAAATGCCACTCCGGTTGAGAGCATATTGGATATAATGCAACCTTGGCAGGATATCGTACCTGGTTGCACTAGTTTTCCATAAAGAAATGGAGAACAGAATTACAAGGTCGACAGGGACACAGATTCAGCTACTCTATTTCAATTGCATGCATTCAGAAAAGTTAGATTCTACTCAAAATATAAATGTCTCATTTCGAAAATTTTGGAAACCCATGATGTCTGTTAGCATCCATCTGTTCAGCTTAATTAAATCCCAAAACATGTATAAGATACATACTCCTCCTATGCACAAATCTGATTAGCCTCACAAGCTTTGCAAGGCAAAGTCTTCATCTCAAGATGACACAGTAGCATCAACCTTTCCATAGATACGCTGAAGTTCACGGGTCGCAGCTTGATATGAAGCTGAGAAACAAAAGAAGAAAACCGAGTAAGAGAAGTTACGAAATAAACCTTTCATGTATGCATCAGGTTCACAACTACATTACCTTTCCAGATGCGAAAGTTCTTCTGATTAATTTGGGATCCTGTCACATTTTGAATTACATCAAAAAGCATCTCCTGCGGAGTGTTTTTGAGCTCCTGAACAACTGCATAGATGGTCTTTCCATTCTCAAAGTAAATATGATTATTGGGGTGCTTGGTCTTGCAATTAGCATGGCACTCAAACTCATATGCATTCAAAGCCTGCATATAAATTTCGAATCATGGGGCAATGATACCCGGGTTTAATAATCTCATCCTCTTCTCAATACTCTGTAGCTGGGGAAAGGGGAAGGGATCCAGAAGCTTTGCGACAATGAACATTTTTGGTTGGCTACTTAAAAAATGAAAAGCAGATGACTGTTTGAGTTGCTTACTTTTTCAAAATTACAATCTTTGCAGCCACACATATACCCAGTCCCTTGTATATACCCTTTAAGGTTTTTCTGCAAAGGAAAAATTTAGCTTACATGATTTAAATTCCATTGGTGAAAAGTTAAGCACAGGAAATAACTCACCTCCCGTGACCATGAAACATACTTCACAGCAACCCCGTCAAGCATACCAGTTGACAACAAACTTTTGACATTGGAAGGGAAATTGTTGGGAGAAACATTTTTAGCTATCTTTGGTTCTTTATGCTTTGGGTTGGTATCAGTTCTAGGAATACTTTTAGGGGCACTGTTTACGTTTAATTCTGGATTCGACTGAACTAACTGTTGCTGGCTAGGCAATTCTGAAGCTTGTACTGGATTCTGATTATTCATCAATAAGTTATAGCCACTAATAATACTGCCAGAAGGATTTGTCTCAGATTCATCAGCCCCAAAAGATATGGTATTGATCTCACCCTTGTAGTTTTGATGAATGGATAGAATACTGGACTCTCCTTTACCTTGTGTAGGAGTGATTGTTGCGATGTTACACTCTGCCATATGATAGGAAGGTTGCATTGGTATATTATCATCTTCCTTATCAAAAGAGGGGGCCGTTGAAATTAAATTGGCAAAGGAAGGGCTCAAAGAAGCTAAATTGGGGTCTCCTTTCTCATATGATTGCCCCATTGATATAAAATTGCCATCCTCCTTGTCAAAAGTTTGACACATCGACAAGATACTCTCATTTCCCTTGTCGTAATTATGCCCCACTGATATGAAATCAGCATCTCTCTTGTTAAAGGTGTGCCCCATTGAAATAAAATCGGCATCTGCCTTTGTAAATGTGGCACCCATTGAGATGGAATTTTCATCCCCACTACCATAAGTTGGGTCCAGCGATATATCGTTGTTACCACTTGTACTGTAAACAGTAGACATTGAAACTGTGCTATTAACTCCTATACTGTAGGGGTGTCCCACTAAAGCTGGCATGCCATTGTTTGAATCCTTAACTTGGTTAACTTTAACTTTCCTTATTCCACCAAAACTGAGACACGGGGCATCGCCAACAGTATGAGACATGGATAAACCCGATGAACTATTGATGTATCGATCTTCAAAATCCTTTCTTCTCACATCCATATTTCCACTGTCAACAGAAGAAATGTTGCTATCAACAAAGTTGACAGTTCGCATGGGCTCAGATCCAAATAGGCAATCACTGAATTGGCCAGAAACTGACTGAAAACTGGAAGCATTGTGCCATGGAGAAACATTGATGTCTGCAATTCCTGAAACAGGTTGGATGTTAACTGATTCTATAGCTTGCTTCTTGTTGCTTAACAATTCTGGTGCAGCAGCATCCATAAACCATTGATGAGCACGCTTTGATTCAGATCTGGAAGAATTATTATAATGCACCTCTCCATTAGTTGGACATGTACCATCTCTTGGCGTCCAAAAACCTTTTTTCTGGAAAGACAGCCAAAATCAATAAAACAGAGAATCAAAGCAGAGGCATTTATTATCAAAAGATAACAAATAGGCTAACTATACAATAATTCTTATTGGGAACTTTATTGGTATAGAGGCAACTTTAGATTCATGTGATTTCTTATGGGATAAAGTTTTTCATCAGAGTATTTGGATCAAAAGTAAGACATTCAAATGAGAAGGACAGAATAACACTAACAAATATTCTATAGTAATGGAATGCTGAATATAGTAAATAAAATACCCTGCAAGTTAGAAAGTCATTACCAACCCCGCAAGCTGCAACATTGAAACAGTTACTTCTATTTTCTTTTTCCTTATATCTTGATATGTTATCTAAATATTTTAGCAAGCGGATACAAGGAAAGTACAGGAGTAATATGTGACAGACAAGTAGCACGTTCATGGCTAGGCGTTTGGTCATAAGAATGAAGATGAAATGTTGACAAGTACTTACCCAAAAAAAAGGACATATATTAATACAATAATCGCTTTATTTACAGATATCATGGATATATGCACCAGATCACAGAATTAAAATGAGAACCATTTGAAGTTTTGAAAAGCACGTACAATGTCCTATTTATCATATGTTATTTCATTTACGTGTTTGTCCGATGATGATGGTCGATAAAAAAGAAAAAAGAAAAGAGATCACTTTTTTATGGTTGGTCTTGGTCAAGACATCAAAAAGGAAACTTATTTATATTTATAAAAGGTGTTGTTTTGTATAATTTCATTACATTTATAATGTATTGTTAGTTCATGTATTCCATCTCGAAATTTGAAGAAAATTTGAGTTAATATATTTGATCATGTTTAAGTCTATAGTAACGACAAATATCTTTTACATAAAGTGATAAAACATACTCAAAAGGAAATCTGTCCTGTCTGTTTTAGAAGGATATTACTTCACTTTAAACGGATAATTGACACTCACACCATTGTTCAATGCATATCAAAAGGGAAACATGCAGAAAAAACAGGAGCTGGTAAAGGCAAGTGGTTTCAATCAGCATGTCAATATAAGTAGCAGGGACTGCATGTAAGATAGTAAAAAAATTGTTTAACTTTAACCCAATATATATCACCATGTCTACATATCTGAGGCACATTACCATCTGCATTGCTTTCATTAAGAATTTAAATCCTCAAGTTTCAACATAATGAAACCTAACATGAAATCATTATACACGTATATCTATGGTACATGATCATCATGTTTGACATTTAATTTACTCAAAAATCTGACATCAGAAAACCTAGTATAAGTCACAATATTTTTAAATCTAAGACATCTTGCCTTTGTAATTACTTTTAGTAAGACATTTGAAGTCCTAAATTTCAACATAATGGAACCTCACAAAATTCACCTTTATCTTCACACATAAGGCACGTAGCATTTAAGCTCAGATGTTAACGTAAATCAGCAACATTGGCATCAATGTGCTACTCGTATAGTACAGCAGGGTATATTACAAAATCTGAATTCCCCAAATCTGCTAAAAGATGGAACATAAAGTTGATTGTAACATATGCATCTCTAAGACATTTTATCAGTAACAACTACTTTTAGTAAGACAATTAAATTACTTACAGCTCGGAATAATGGAATCTAACATTAATCGTCATAATCAAGTGTCTGAAGAAGCATGAGATGATAATACATCCAAAGTCTTTAAAGTTTCGACAGAAAGGAACCAAATACAAATCAGCATGCCCATATTTAAGGCAAACAATCATTGAGATTACTGTTTTAATAGAATATTCAATTTCCTCAAACTTCTTCATACTTTAACCTAACATAAATCACCACACATGCATATTTAAAGCACAAAATCATCTTGATTCCATTCATTTATACATTTAAACTTCTCGTACCGAATCTTTAATGATAATTGAAAAGTTACATTGAACTAATAATATTCACCCTAGCGAGACAAATTAAAAATTCTCCAATTAAGTTCTTTAATTAATTTTCAAACAATAATCAATCAAACAAAAATCAAAATTGATGCAAGAAAACCAAACAAAAAGTGAAATCTTTTTTTTAACCCTGAAAATGAAAAAAAAAAGAGGAAAAGGAAATTCAAAATCATTAACAAGAAAGAGCCAGAACTTAAACAAAACACTTGCATGCAATAATAGGAGCTTCTGTAAGTGCTAGGCTCGTACCATTTCTCCCCAATCTTGCAGCTCAATGAGTTAGTTAGTCACTCACTTGCAATTGAACACGCCTTCGATCAATAAAAAAAGAAGCTTGTTTCACCTTCCATAAAAACCTTAAGAAGATCAAAGGGAAAAAATCAATTAATCAAATCAAATCAAAGTTCAATCACAAATTCCGTATGCATTAATCCAAAAAGTAACATTTATAATATTTAGAAACGATATCTTATGAATTTTCTCCGTTTTCCTCAGTATTTTACAGACGATAATTTAAACAGGTTATTCCGAGCAATGGCGCGAACTAAAATCTAAAAATGAAAATAGTTGAGGGCGCTTATAAATAATACCTTTCCCGGAAAGATCGCCGGTTAGGATTCCCGGCGATAACTTGCCGGAGATAATCAAATTTCCTCTATAAAATGATTTAATTTCTTTTTCCTCCAACTACTTTGAAGGAAAGCAGTCGCAGTATATACACTGAGAAAGCAACTGGGAGAACTTTCGATCCCTTAGATAGTGGGAAGAAAAAGAATATATAATCTGCACCAGCGCAGTGTATTAAATTTCAGGCATTTTAATCTTGACCGTATACCTGGCAGTAGATTACAAAGTGGGTTCCACTTGAGAATGAGAGGGTATCGTAACCGTTAAATTTGGCCTCCACACCTGGTTGGACTTTGTATGGAAACCTATTGAATTGGAGCGGTAAATTCTCTGCGGTTAAGGGTAGGGAAAGAAAACTGACATGTACACTCGGACCTATATGATCTTGCCAAATCATCTTTGTATGTTTGATGCTTTGATTAATTTCACTAAGATATCCCAGGAACACGAGAAATCATTTCATGATTTGACTCACCACGTTAACTTATGGTATCATAAAATTCATCTATTTTAAAGTAATTTTTAAATAAATACATACTTATTTATTATTAATTTAAAATATAAGATAATATTTATTTAAAGATAACTCTCATTCATTTGACATTGATAATTGAACACTCACACTTTCAGTATTATTGTTGCTCAAACTCGGGATCTCAATGGATAACAACGATTTTTTGACTACTAATGTCGTTTAGTTCATGCTACACTCTTTATTTACATGTAGGAAAGAGATGACAATTCACCTTAGAAAAAATAAGATATATAAATTGTATTGGTTAGAACCATAAATAACATAGGAAGCCAAGTCCATCTAATAATTTTTTTCGAAGACAATAGTTGGTCAACCGTAGGGGTAGGAGGTAAATATCAAACTAATGGTGGTTTAGTTAACTTTAATTAAGATGTAATTAATACTTCCATAAAAGCTTGCCACAAAGGTTTGGAATTTTTTAGGTGGAGATAGAGTTGATTAACTCACTTCGTAAAAACATAAAAATTAAAATTAGGTTAGGCATAAAGTATAATATACCTAAATTAATATATATGTATATATATATATATATATATATATATATATATATATATATATATATATTTTTTTGTTTATTTGATAGAAATCTATAAAATATTATTTGTACGAATAATTATACGGTATCCATATAAAGGAGATTTTCGGTTCGACTTTAATGAGATTAATTGCTATAGCCTAATGCATGTGGTATCCTTCAATTGTTTAGCGGCAAAACTTCACAAATTTCTTACTGATGAATCAAGAAGTCCATCAACATAACCAAAACCTCAAGCAACCTTTACTAATCATTCAATGCATCGTTGACCAATTTTTATTTTTTTTAATATATCCAATATTAAATTTTTAATCAAAACACTAAATCAAATTATAATTTAAATTCAATTCTTAATTCTTCAAGTTATTAAACACTTGAATTTCATTATGTGTAAACCTTGTTTAAAAAATTCTAATTTGAATCGAATATATTTTTAAAAAATAAACTAAAATCTCAAAGTTCATGGTTAAGAGAATTATTCTTATTTGAGTCTAAATAATTTAAAATATATTTTATATAATATCTAAACTATTGAGATCTTTACGTTCATAAACTAAAAGATAATACATTTTTAAACATACTCAAACTCACATATTACAACAATATTATCAGAAAATTATATCTATGAAGAACCCACCAAGCAATTATATATAGAGAAAATAATCTCAGTGACAAAAAATGTCTTATAATATACGATTTTAACCAACTTTTTTTGGATTTGCCAAAATGACAAACTAAATCGCAATGCGATCGATAATTCGCAACGTGATCTCCGGTATCGCAAATCAGTTTCCAGATTCGCAACGCGAACTTCGACTATCGCATTGCGATTTACATATTCGCATTGCGATAGTCCAAGTTCGCGTTGCGATTTATTCCAAGTTCGTTGCGATAGTCGAAGTTCGCGTTGCGATTTATTCCAAATTCGTTGCGATAGTAGAAGTTCGCGTTGCGATTTATTCCAAGTTCGTTGCGATAGTCCAAAATCGCAACGACGGTATTGCATTTGTTTCTTAAGAATTTTCTCTAAAAAGATAGTATTCGCGCGGACGTGTAGAAGACACGTATTACCACGACCACGACCACGACCACGACCACGACCCGACCCGACCCGACCCGACCCGAGACGAGACAGACGGCGGCGGCGGCGGCGCGCGAGAGTCCCCCTTGTTCTCTATCACTCAACAAGGAAGTGTGAAAGCCAAGCCTTAAATACCATTCCCAATAGTATTTCCAATACTATGTGGGATTGACCATTACCAACACTTGTTCCTAATACTATGTGGGATTGAGCCTTAAATAGTGATATTATTTTTGAATGTTTTGCTTAAAATTACAATAATCGCGATTGATTGTAAATTGACATTTAATTATGACATATTTAATCGTATAATACTAATGCAATTGGTTGTTGATTCAGTTGTTTTAAGGTGCATGATTGTTAATTGTTTCCTGAATAATCACATTGTATTGAAAACAAGTGTAATGCTCAATCCCACATAGTATTGGAAACACTATTGGGAATGATATTTAAGGCTTGGCTTTCCCACTTCCTTGTTGAGTGATAGAGAACAAGGGGACTCTCGCGCGCCGCCGCCGCCGCCTATTGAAACACGGTTAACTTAATTATAAATATAAAAAAATTCACTATCGTGTCAATTAATTATTATTTTTAATTATAACACAAATTTACAAAACTTTTATTTTCTATGGAGGTGGAAAGCCACCTATTGAAACACGGTTAACTTAATTTCTCCTAATTTTTTGTGGTTAACTAAATTTCATTTGGATTTGATTGAATATATAATAACATGTAACCAACATAAAGAGAGAAGCCATAATAATTTTTTATTGAAAATTTTATTTTTATCGGTGTATTATTTTTTTTATTTTTTATAGAATGTTGTTGTTGTCATCAGTATTTTTTATTGTCTTTTTCTTTTATTATATCATATCTCTATTTTCTTTTTCTTTTTCTTTTTCTTAATAAGTATACATGCATGACATGTTTCTATGGTTTTCAAAACTGGATCGGTCAACGAATCGGCCGTGTTACTGGTTCACTGGTTCAACCGGTCGAACCGATCAGACCGGTCGAAAGAACCGGACGACGTCATAATTAATTAATTATTTAAAAAATTTAAATAAAAATATAAAAAAACATTTAATAAAAACAGTTTTTTATATCACAAGTCATATTCAAAGCAAGTTATAACATATATAAGTTAAAAACCATAAAATCAAGTGAAACAAAATTATTCAAATCAACTACAACATAATATTTAAGGTAAAACATATTAAATAATAAATATAATTATATAACTATAATCAAAAAATAAATTTGGGGCTAAAAAATCATAATAAATGATGTAGTTTGGTTTAATTTTTTTTTTAAATCCCACATGGTTAAGAAACATAGAAGAGCATCACAAAAGTCTGAAGAGTAAAAATATGAAAACAAAACAATCCGACATGGCTAAGAAACATAGAAGAGCATCCTAACTTAAATAATAGAGGTAATTTGACATTCAAAATCATGGAGTCTTTTGGTGAGCACAGAGCAAACTATTCTTTCGCTTCAATCGAGCTCGAATTTTAGGCTTCAATCGAGCTTTTAAAACATTTTTTAGTTTGAGGTTTTTTTAGTTCAAGTTTCAATATTATATTTCAAGTTCGAGTTGAACTTGATAATTTTTAGCTCGTGAGTTTTTGAGTCGAGTTGAGCTTACTTTTAAAGTTTTCGAGTTCAACTCGGCTCGTTTAACAAACGATGTCATTCGATTTAATATTTTTTAGAAAAAAAAAACAAAACCGGATTTCAACCGGTTCACGGTCCGGTCCGGTTCAACGGTTCACAGCCGGTTCAACGGTTCCTTCCGGTTCACTAGTAGCGGTTTAACCGGTGTAGAATGAACCAAACCAGGCAGCGGTTCCTGGTTGAACCGGCCGGTCCGATCCAATTTTCAAAACACTGCGTGTTTCTTTATGTCTTTTGACATGTTTTTGTCGTTGTCTATCCCTTTTTTTCATATATCTTTTTTTAAGGGTTGATTTGATATCACTATGACTAGTCAAAATAATACTTATTTAATCTCATTAATATTTGAATATTGGTTTGTGTTAACATTTACTGTTTCCACTTGATGATTATTATTTAAAATATATTTCATTTAGAATGAAATCGAAATATAAAGATGTATGCTACTGATTTCTATATGTAAATAAATTAACAAATATATACAATAATAATTAATAATATAGTTTATAAGAAAAAATTTATTGTTGGAGCTGCCTTGCCAAACAATCCCAAATCATTCTCCAAAGGAGTAAAGTTCAAATCCAAACACAAAACTCTTCTGCTATTAGAGTTCTTCACAATCGGCGACACCATCACCGTTTCACCAGACGAATTCAAAGAACCATGCTGGTTTTCACTCGCAACGCCCCTATGCCTCCTCATATGTCCGCCCAACGCTTGCCCGATCGCAAACTCAAGCCCGCAAATCGAGCACTCGTGCGTCTTAGGCTTAATTGGCGATGGTTGATTCTCGCCGTCCGCTTCCCCCAACTTAAGCTTCTTATGACTGGCCCGATGGCCTCCTAGAGCTTGGAACGATTGAAACTGCCGGTTACACGTTTTGCACTCGAAAATCCGAGTCGGGATAATATTGGTCTCGGTTTGTTCGTACCCGATTCCTCCTTGTGAAAGGAGCATCAAACAATTTGCCAAAGCTATATTATTCTCCACTTCTCTGTTGAGAAAGCTTCGCTTCATCTTTTTTTTTTTTTTTTGGTATGGTGTGAAAATATCAGTTTGTTTGGGTATTTGATTTTGATTTACTTTTCAGAGGAAAAGAAAGTGAAATAGGACTTCGAGGTAAGGTGAGGTTTGATATATTTATAGGTTGGTTTTTAGGCAAGATGGGAAGTTTTGACTTTTTATAGTTGACTTATTGGAATGACTTTTGTGCCCTTACTATTTGTCTGCTAAGGCAATCAAGTATTGGGGATTTTTGGAATAAAAGATTGGACTGGCGGGTGGAGGGATTGGATCATTGGATGTGAAATCAGTTCGACTCGTGTACGCGTCAGCATGACCGAGTAGCTGAGCCAAGCAAGCATCCTGAGTTGAAAGTCCTCGTTAGAATCTTCAATCGTCTAGAAGATTCTAATTTTCTCAGAAAAATATGGTGACTAATCAAACGGAATGACATCTTTCCACGTGGACTATAAGCTTTTTAAGTTTCTGGGCGGCAGGCGCGGCGGCTTATTGTTGGTTGTATAATTTTACTTACACTTTCGTTTTCATGTGAACGTACGCCAAGAGAGTCGAGTAGGGCTGTAAATGAGATGAGACAGATCGCGAGCTACTCGAGATTGACTCAGTCAAGGCTCGATAAATACTCGGATCGAATGGACTCGACTCGAACTTGATCTCGACTCGAATTCTTAACGAGCCGAAACGAGCTACTTGATACTCGACTCGAAAAGCTCGTGAGTAGCTCGAAAATATAATATATTAAGATTTTATTTTTAAAAAAATAATTATTAATAATATTAACATTTATGTGTTGATTTTTTTTTTTAAAAAGACAATAAGACTTTCATATATTTAAGGTTCATGTTCGAGTTTGAGTTTGAGGATTCGATCTTATTAAGTTTAAGATTTTTTTTTTCATTTCGAGCTGCTCACGAGGTTCAGTTCAGGATTTCGAGTTCGAGTCGAGCTTAAAAATTTTAAGCTCACGAGTTTTCGAGTCGAGTCGAGCTCCATTTCAGAGTTTTCGAGTCGAGCTCAGCAATACTCGAGCTCGACTCGGCTCGTTTACACCCCTAGAGTCGAGGATAGAGTTAAACACATTGTTTTGAAAATCGGACCGGACCGGCCGATTCAACCGGGAATCGTGTGTTAGTCCGATTTAATCTAAACCGGTTGAACCACTTTTAGTGAATCGGCCAGAACCGCTGAACCGTTCGAACCGAACCGGCTGAAAACCGAAAAAAACCAGAAATTTTGTTTTTTTTTCTTAAAAAAAATTAAACCAAACAACGTCGTTTGTTAAACGAGCCAAGTCGAACTCGAGTATTGTTGAGCTCGACTCGAACTTGAAAACTTTAAAAGTAAGCTCAACTCGACTCAAACTCACAAGCTAAAAATTATCAAGTTCAACTCAAACTCGAAATATAATATTGAAACTTGAACTTAAAAGGCTTGAACTAAAAAAAATTTAAAAGCTCAATTGAAGCCTAAAATTCGAACTTGATTGAAGTAAAAGAATAGTTCACTCAATGCTCACCAAAAGGCTCCATGATTTTAAATGTCAAATTACCTCTATTATTTATAGAAGTTAGTTGCGATGCTCTTCTATGTTTCTTAGCAATGTAGGATTGTTTTGTTCTCATATTTTTACTCATTAGACTTTTGGGATGCTCTTCTATGTTTCTTAGTCATGTGGGATTGTTTTTTAAAAAAAATTAAACCAAACAATATCATTTTGTTATGATTTTTTTAACCCCAAATTTATTTTTTAATTATAGTTATATAATTATATTTATTATTTAATATGTTTTACCTTAAATATTATGTTGTAGTTAATTTGAATCATTTTGTTTCACTAGATTTTATGGTTTTTAACTTATATATGTTATGACTTGCTTTGAATATGACTTGTGATATAAAAAATTATTTTTTATTAAATATTTTTGGTATTTTTATTTAATTTTTAAAATAATTATGACATCGTCCGTTTCTTCCGACCGGTCGGATCAATTCGACCGATTGAACCAGTGAACCGATAACATGGTCGGTTCGCTAATCGGTCCGGTTCTGAAAACTATGGTTAAACATGGTTGGTGACTTTATGTTGGGAAATAACGTTTATCATTTTTTTATTTAAATATTTCTCTCTCTTCCTGGATACATTTCTCTCTTCCTGGATACATTTATTTTGATTTTAAAATCTATCTCATCTAAAAGAGAAAATAACTTCAGTGACCAAAAATCTTATATAATATACGATTTTAACCAACTTTTTCCGGATTTACCAAAATGACCAACAAAATCGCAATGCGATCGCTAATTCGCAACGCGATCTCCATTATCGCAAATTCGCGTTGCATTTCGCGTTGCGATAGTTGAAAATCGCGTTGCGATTGTCTACAGTGTCGTTGCGATTTTCCCAATTCGCAATGCGAATAAGTAAATCGCAACGCGAATTGGGAAAATCGCAATGCGATACTGACTATCGCAATGCGATACTTACTATCGCAATGCGATTTACGTATTCGCATTGCGATTTTCATAATTCGCAATGCGAATACGTAAATCGCAATGCGAATTAGGGAAATCGCAATTCGAATACGTAAATCGCAATGCGAATACGTAAATCGCAATGCGAATACGTAAATCGCAATGCGATTTACATAGCGCCATTCGTATTAACGCGTATATTTTTTTCAAATTCCAAACACGAATTTTTTCTTAATAAATCGGAAACTGAACCGTCCACAGTAATCGCAACTCATAACCTCAAACCTAAAATCACAACACTCAGTCCCATCTCCATCTCTCACTCTCTACGGCGAAATCCGTCCCCATCTCCGAAGATTTCGATCCCCATCGCCGTCGAAATCCCTCACAGCCATTCATAGTCAAAAATCCCTCACAATCATTCAGAAATGGAAAATCAACCTCCGAGGGTTAGTTTTGTCTTATTTTTATTTTGAAATTTTTGCATTATTTTAGGTTTTTCATATTGAGATTGATGATAAGTTTACTGGTAATTTCAATAATAGATTAACCATTTCACTTAGATTTCTTATTAAATTCATTCGATTGCTGCCAATACTGCTAAACTGTTTAGCCTGTGAAGTTAGTATTTGTCTTTGTTTTGTCTTTTGGTTGAAGTAATGCAGAAGAAGAATAGTTTCGAGAATAAAATCGCAACGCGAAAATAACTATCGCAACGCGAAATAAAAATCGCAACGCGAAACCAAAATCGCATTGCGATTTTCATTTCGCGTTGCAATTCTCTCGTTGCGATGTTCATTTCGCGTTGCGATTTTCATTTCGCATTGCGATTCTCTCGTTACGATAGTCATTTCCGCGTTGCGATTCTTATTATCTCGTTGCGATTTTCATTTCAACCAAAAGACAAAACAGTGTTGCAAATTTTAGTTTCAAGAATAAACTACTATTTATGTTTATTGTTTTTGGTATATCTTGACAGTGTAGTTTTTGGTATATCTAACTTGGTATGTTTATTGTTTTTGTAGAAATTTTTTTCGGCTTCATTGACATTAAGGAATAAAGTTAGCCTAGCCACTACGATTGCTTCGAAGTTTTCACCTGCACAAAGAAAATTGTTTGAGGAAACCTGCTTCGGGCCATGGCTGAGAGTACAGCATCCGGGTGGAGATGCTAATTTGACCCATTTGTGGCTTCAGACCATGACTAGCGATCTACCCGACAGTATACAACGTGGTGAGGAAGAGATATGGTTTCATTTTCTACCGGTGTATACTTGTTTTGGGCGGAAGAAGTTCTGCTTAATCACTGGTCTACGATTCGGACACGATGATGTAGGCCGGTACACTCGTCATATCACCCGCCCATCATGATTATCCAGGGTTTTTCCTGATGAGTCAATAGAGAAGCCGAACTTACACGTCGACGACATGAAGAAATTGTTTAATAAGAAAGATGGTTTTACTCGGATGAATGACGTCGATGTTGTCCGAGTATGCCTTCTAATACTTTTGTATGCCGGCTTTTTAGGCAGAGAGGCCAGACAACCTATTCCTCAGGAGCTAATATTATTGGTAGAGGACCTAAATGCATGGAATCTGTTTCCGTGGGGTTCATATATATGGAAAGCTACCTGGACTAAGTTGTCGTCTGCCTTTGATGACCGCAAAAGTTTGCGGGGCGATGGGTCAAAATACACTTTGTCAGGCTTTGTTTGGGCCTTTAAGGTAAGAATTTCTATATAATGTTTTCAAAATTATAATTAATTATTTAACAATTACTAATGTTTGTTATTATATTGTTTGTAGATTTGGATATTCGAGGCCTTTCCCACCATGAAGACATATGCAATAAAAACTTCAAATGATATTCCCAGGGCTATTTCCTGGAAGAGGAAACGTCTGTTGGATTGGGAAGACTTAATACCATATGCGACAATAAATAATGTAAGTTAACACAAATACTATCATATATAAACAAGTTATTAATAGTAAACGTTTAACTTTGTTTGCTATTAATATATTTTTAGGAGGCCAACATTCCATTAATGAGACTGACACCCACGGAGGCTGAGCTTGCCACTGATTGGTGGCAAGCTAGTCAGCGTTTTCTTGATGGTACGAATGATGAGCAGCCTCCACTTCCTCCACTTCGAGAGCCATCACCTCACCCAGAGCCATCACCTGATCGACCCGACTATACACCTCTACAACGAGAGCCATCACCTATCCCATCACATCATCGAGCCTCTTCTCCACCATCACCTCATGATAGGCGACCGACAAAGATACCACGAATTCTATCTCCCTGTTCTCCACCTCCACCTCCACGGGATGAGTCAAGGGAGTTACGTGATGAAGTCAATGCCTTGCGTGAGGAGATCGATACTCTACGCGATAACGATGGTGCATGGCGTGTGGAGGTGTCTACTTTACGTGGTGAGGTTGCCGCTCTACGTGAGATGGTAGTATCGTTGCATAATGAGGTTCATACTCTACGCAACGAGGTAAGTTTAAGATTTTTCATATTTAACTTGATGATAAATTTACTCGTAATTTCACTTAGATTAACCATTTTACTTAGATTGCTTAGTAAATTTATTCGGTT